TTCGTCCCTTCTACGTTTGATCATTTGTTCGTCCGTTGCTTTTTCGTTTGATCATTCGTTCGTTCACTTCTTATTTGTTCGATCGTCGTTCGTTCTTCGTATCTTTCGCTACTTTAAATTGACAAAGTCCAATAGCACTCAATGCGAGTTTAGATTTTTCATACATGGAAAATGAGTTGACTTCGAATATCCATTCGCAATCCGTTTCCATCCATCGGTTTAAAGGTCGAATCGTACAGTATCTTAATTCATACAGTATACAGGGATAATAAAGAGTAAATGTTTGCTTATATTACGATGTATTTTTATTTTCAAAGCTCGAAAGGGATGCTGGTGGACCATGTCCCTTTAAAAGAACAAACAAGGGAAGTCATACTCACTCATCAGGTTTAAGATAAACTTCCAGTAACATAAGAAACAACTTCTCTTTGTAACCTTTATCTTTGTCCTGACAAAATCACAAACAAATAAAAAACGAAAAATATAATGTCAGAATGAATGGTTGGGCTGCCTGTATCCTTATGTGGTACTAAGGCTCTCCACTTCCCCAGGTAAGAAAAGGAGACGTGTCTAGTTTCGCAAACGGCTGTAAGAAGAGATCAGGTCCAAGATTGTTTGTCGTGTGAACAATCTTAAAGACCCAGTTTGCACCATTATGCTTTGCGCGCCTCTGTTATTGTTATGATTTACACCAAAATACTTCTAGTATCCAAACATACCATAAAACGAATGTCAGATGGTTGAAAACTATTATATAAGCGTTTATAGTGCTTAGAAAAGTGAGGTGGTCAAAGATTCGAAACGCGCAGTACAATTTATAGACTTTCGATAAACTGAAAATGGCCGCCTCCAGGCCCGCACGGCCCCCAAAGCATAGTGGTGCACTGTGCCTTTAAACCCAGAGCCCGCAGTTTTAACACCCAGCGGGTGGTGCCTCAGTAAACCGCTGAAATTTAGCCGGGAAGACTCTGGGCTCAAGATTATCTTCCAACACAAGCAACAAAAAGGAATTCCCTGCCTAGCGAAAAGATTGATGATGCGAGGACGAATGCATGAAGCAATACCTTTGAATTGATATTACAGTATCTAACAGCTGCATCAAAGTCGTTTAATTTGCACACAAGAATCTGTAAAGCTTTTGTATGCTGCCCCATCTACAAACAAACAACGTGATAATAAATATTCAAATATGCAAAAACTCATACATAATTAATGAGTTATTAGGCCAATAGAATGACCTTATTTGGTTACATGCATGGACCTTTATATCTGATAAAACACTCCTTATTAGTATTCTTTATACAAAGAATACTAATAAGGGTGACCTTTATCAGATATAATCTGTCCATGACCCTAGCAAAGGTCTCAGGTTTGATACCTGATCATTGATCAATGTAGGATGTGAACCGATTGCAGTTAACATCCATTAGCCCTTCTATTTTACTTTATGCGTATTCAATGTGGGATGACAAGAGTGGTTTTTTTAAGTGATTCGCGCATGATCAGTTTGCCCCATTTATCTCAAAACTTATTTTTAGGGCAATTTCTCCAAACTTTTTAACGGATTTGAGTTTCAGATTAGTGTTGGAGTTTTTGAAGCCGTTTAAAACTGCTCACGACTAGGTTGGTTAACAAAACCTGTAGTACTTCTAAAAGCGGTCACACTCGGGACCGTATAAAGTGGCCGTTTGATAGATCTGTCCGCTGAACAGAGGGCGGACAGATAATCAAATCGAAATACCGAACATCCCCGAGCTTATTTGAGTCGTATTACTACAAGTCGCACGCGACAACCTTGTCTTGCCTTTACGGCGCTTAGAGCAGACATGGATAGACCTCTGAAGCTCTTACGTCACCTCCTTGATTTGCAATGCATCATGGGATCATTTTCCGAAGAAAACTATATAAATCCGTCATATTCGGTCCCAAACATATCCTACAATGCATTGCGTATACGGTATATGACGT